GACACGGGGGGACACGGGGCCGGGGGATTTTGGGGAGAGGACACGGGTGGGTTCACGAGGGACGATGGGAGCGCGGGGAGGGCACCCATGGGTGCTGCGTGTGTGCAACAGCGGCCGGGGAGGGGGGGGGTTCCGTGGGTGCTGTGTGGTGTCCATGAGGCTCCCGTGGGTGCTGTGGGGTTCCCGTGGGCGCTGTGGGGTCTCCATGGGTCCCCGTGGGTTGTGTGGGGTTCCGTGGGTGCTGTGGGGTTCCGTGGGTGCTGTGGGGTTCCCGTGGGTGCTGTGGGGTTCCGTGGGTGCTGTGGTGTCCCCGTGGTGTTCCCGTGGGTGCTGTGGGTGGTGTAGCATTCCCGTGGGTGCTGTGGGGTTCCGTGGGTGCTGTGGGGCTCCCGTGGGTGCTGTGGGTGGTGTAGCATTCCCGTGGGTGCTGTGGGGTTCCCGTGGGTTCTATGAGGATCCCGTGGGTGCTGTGGTGTCCCCGTGGTGTTCCCGTGGGTGCTGTGGGGTTCGGCGGGTGCTGTGGGGTCACCATGGGGTCGCCGTGGGTGCTGTGGGGTTCCGTGGGTGCTGTGGGGTCTCCATGGTTGCTGTGGGTGCTGTAGGGTTCCCGTGGGTGCTGTGGGGTTCCCGTGGGTGCTGTGGGTGCTATAGGGACCCCGTGGATGCTGTGGGGTCCCCGTGGGTGCTATGAGGTTCCCGTGGGTGCTGTAGGGACCCCGTGGGTGCTGTGGGGTCTCCACAGGGGCTGTGAGCTTCCCGTGGGTGCTGTGAGGTCTCCATGGTTGCTGTGGGTGCTGTACGGTTCCCGTGGGTGCTGTGGGGTTCCGTGGGTGCTGTGGGGTTCCCGTGGGTGCTGTGGGTGGTGTAGCATTCCCGTGGGTGCTGTGGGGTTCCCGTGGGTTCTGTGAGGTTCCCGTGGGTGCTGTGGGGTCACCATGGGTGCTGTGGGGTCCCCGTGGGTGCTGTGGGGCTCCCGTGGGTGCTGTGGGGTCACCATGGGTGCTGTGGGGTCACCATGGGGTCGCCGTGGGTGCTGTGGGGTTCCGTGGGTGCTGAGTGCTGGGTGGGGTGCTGTGGGGTTCCGTGGGTGCTGTGGGGTCCCCGTGGGTGCTTGGGGTCTCCATGGGGTTCCCATGGGTGCTGTGGGGTCTCCATGGTTGCTGTGGGTGCTGTAGGGTTCCCGTGGGTGCTGTGGTGTTCTCGTGGGTGCTGTAGGGTTCCTGTGGGTGCTGTGGGGTCTCCGTAGGTGCTATGAGGTTCCCGTGGGTGCTGTGGGTGCTATAGGGACCCCGTGGGTGCTGTGGGGTTCCCGTGGGTGCTGTAGGGTCTCCACGAGGTTCCCGTGGGTGCTGTGGGGTCCCCGTGGGTGCTATGAGGTTCCCGTGGGTGCTGTGGGTGCTGTAGGGACCCCGTGGGTGCTGTGGGGTCTCCACAGGGGCTGTGAGCTTCCCGTGGGTGCTGTGAGGTCTCCATGGGTGCTGTGGGTGCTGTACGGTTCCCGTGGGTGCTGTGGGGTCTCCGTGGGTGCTGTGGGGTTCCCGTGGGTGCTGTGGGTTCTGTGAGGTTCCCGTGGGTGCTGTGGGGTCACCATGGGTGCTATGGGGTTCCCGTGGGTGCTGTGGGGTTCCGTGGGTGCTGTGGGTTCTGTGAGGTTCCCGTGGGTGCTGTGGGGTCACCATGGGTGCTATGGGGTTCCCGTGGGTGCTGTGGGGTTACCATGGGTGCTATGGGGTTCCCGTGGGTGCTGTGGGGTCACCATGGGGACCCCGTGGGTGCTGTGGGGTTCCCGTGGGTTCTATGAGGTTCCCGTGGGTGCAGTGGGGTCACCATGGTTGCTGTGGTTGCTGTAGGGTCCCCGTGGGTGCTGTGGGGTTCCCGTGGGTGCTGTGGGGTCACCATGGGTGCTATGAGGTTCCCGTGGGTGCTGTGGGTGCTATGGGGTTCCCGTGGGTGCTGTGGGGTTCCGTGGGTGCTGTGGGGTTCCCGTGGGTGCTGTAGGGTCTCCACGAGGTTCCCGTGGGTGCAGTGGGATCGCCGTGTCCCCCCCCGTGTCCCCAATGTCCCCTGGCAGCCGCGCGCAATTAACGAAATGGCGCTTAATGAATTACACGCGTCAGCGGTGCCCATTAACGAATTGCACCCATCAACGGTAGCTCTTAATTAATTACACCCATCCACCGCGGCCGCTAATTAATTACACCCATCCACCATGGCTCTTAATTAATTACACCCATCCACCGCGGCCGTTAATTAATTACACCCATCCACCACGGCCGTTAATTAATTACACCCATCAACCCCCCCCCCGCCCCGCGGGGACATTGGGGACATCGGGGGGACATTGAGAAGGACATTGGTGGCACTGGGGACACTGGGGTG